GTATTTTGATCATATCTTTCTCTTCCGATATCCGATTAAGGTAATTCAAAATGGGTTGGAAATCTAACTTAAAGGGATACAACTTTGCTTCAAAAATCGTCTTCAAATTAGATCATCTTCTATATCAAAAATCTGTTCCAATATGAGATTGAAAATCGGAGTATAACTTTTTGATTGAAAGTTGAAGTGTGATTTTTGCGGGATGTTTGAAAATGATTTTCAAGGTTTTTGATATATTACAAATGTTCATTTCATCAAAATCATTTTCATGTCAAACCAATTTATGCAAGTGATGAATTTATGAGAAATACTTGAACTTTATGCACTTGCTAAACATTGACGAGTTATATCTTTACATATATAAATGAGGTTCGATAAATAACCTCTTTGGCTTGTATCTTGATTTGCAATTTTGTTAAGTTCCAATTTGATTGTCGCATGCAAATCACTATTGTCTCGAATGATTTGTCCTGAATGCTCGTTTAACCTTCACTTGTACTTCATTCGAGTGTGAATAATAATTTTTATAATTTTGAAGGCTTAGACACTCAATTCAATTTGTTAGTAAATAAGATGGACTTGTTTGTTATAATCTAAACATTTAGATCGTGATCAACCATATGTCAACATACAGGACCTCAACACAACCCTCAAGTTTAAAGTAAATTGATTTTACAGCTTAAAGACTTCTCTCTTAATAAATGATATAATCACAATTAAGTGTTAAGAGGAAAATAGCTAAAACTTTAATGGATAGCAATGAATGAAACCCAAGTGTTAGGTTTAGAAAAACTTTGATGTGTTAAAATGATTTTCAAGAATTGATTTAATCAAAAGTTTTTCAAAACAAAATGACATGATAATAATAAATAGGATAAGAAATCAATGCTTTTGCTCAAAAGAATCTCATGCTCTCTAGTTGTTGTAATGAATGACAAATGAGTTGCTATTTTATAGAAGTGAGAAACACCAACTTGTCTACCTAATCGGACGACCAAACCTGACATCCGAAACAGTACCGGACGACCCAAAAAGTAGCCGTTGAAAATCAGTCAGCACAGTCTGATTTTTTACTGTTCCTGGCGAACCGGAAGTTCGATTAGCCAACCGGACGTCCGGATGGCCAGAAACATTCTGGTCCTTTTTTTTTTGGAACTTTGTAATTTTTTGCTTAACATATTTACTTTACACTTCAAGGTAACTAATGCTTAGTATGATCGAAAATTAAGTCATAGTTCTTACCTTAAAAGAAAATATTTTTCATGCGAAAACATTTTACAGAGTGACTTTTTCTTGTGTATCAAAATCCTTCACTTGAGCTTTCAATATGTCATTGCTAAGAATTAAAGTTCTTTAACTTTGAAAACGAGCTTAAACATCTAGTTCCAATATCTTTGACTGATTTGGCGCGAGTGCTCAATTTGTCGCTCGATTTTGAAATGTCACAAAATTTGTCTCCATTTGTTTTGGCGCGAGTGCTCGATTGTGAATGATCGATTTTCATCTTGAGCTTTTTTGATCGACAATTTTTCGTCCAATCATTTTGTTTCCAATTTGATTAAGTCCACAACATGTAACAATGAAAACTCGAATATAAATATTAGAGATAACCATACTTTGTTTGTTATAATCAAAACATAAGATCGACCATAGGACAACACAAAATTCATTGAAGAGAGAGTTGAGGAGGTTCTAGGGTCATGTGATTGTAATTTTGCTATCCTTGATGCATAAAAGCCTCCAACATCTGCTCGATAAGGAACACGTGACAAGGGATTCACAAAACATCTTTTTTTTTCATTACCATACTCATGTTCCAGCTTATCATAAGCTTTATAAAGATCGAATGATTTAAAAAGCTCCACTCTCACAATGAAGAATTCCATTTCCTATCCCCATAGATTGTCAAGCATCTCTCTAGCATATTGACAGACCTTGAAAATGACTCAATTCCATTGACGTTGCACCTTCAACTCCTATTACAATAACATCATTCTTCTAGGGGAATTTTAGAACGTATAAATTTACATTCTTAATTTTGTTTATAGATAGAGAGAGTTATGGGGAGGAATGAATAGGGAGAGAAGGGGTAGTAACGTCTCCATTCTTTCAGGAAAATTTTAGAGCATATAAATTTTCATTTTTATTTATGTTTATAGACAACGAGAGTTATGGAAGATATATGAAAGGCAGGGAAGGGCCTCGATGGTGATATTTGCACTTTGTTTTTCCCTTCTTCGTATATTTATATTTTTGTCGGTTTAAATTAGAGGACAGTTTTTTTTTTTAAATCAAATTTAACGTTAGTGGGGATGTACTATATACCTAAACATGAAAAGTCAGGGTTAAGAATTTCAAGAAAAAAATTTCGTTCACACACAAGGGTAAAAACTTGATGACCGTCTGTGCAATTTAGCCTTAAAAAACATGTGCCTTGTACAGAGTTGATTTTCAGTTTTTTCACCCAAACTTTTACGGAATTGGAAGCTACAATTACTACAATATCGCAAAAGGGTCTCATCCTATGGAGATGCGGGGGATCGAACCCCGTGCCTCTCGCATGCAAAGCGAGCGCTCTACCATTTGAGCTACATCCCCACTTGGAAAAAGTTCTCAAATATTTGGGATATGAAATCATACTTTACTCTACTTCCCTAATGCATCTTGAGGTGTCGCTTTGATTCTCTATATCGCAGTTGCAGTGTTTTCCCGCCAATGGCAGCAGCAGCCATGGAAGTAGACTTGGGGAACGAATACGATTCCATCCAAAGAAAACAATCCCTCTACAAATCCTTGGTAAAATAATTATTCTCTGTGGTTTCTTGATTTCTACTAGTATAATTCAAAAAAATAGCATTTTTCTTTTTCTTTCTTAATGTTCCCGTACTTCTTTCCATATTTATGCAGGATGAGAGGTTTGGGATACAGAAGGAGATGTACAAAGGGCAACAGTACAGTCAAATATACTTTGCAAGGCTTCACCTGATGAGAACTATGCTTTATTCTCTCATCCCTAATTGGAAACCCCATCTTCCGGGTATGTCCCTTTTCACCTTTCCTTTCTTAATTTCTTGTTGATTTTCAATTAGTTTCAGCACTGACCTTATAATATTACAGTGTTTGTGGGTTTAACATTGGATTTGTTTTCTTAAGGTAGTAAGTGTTTAGGGTTTGTAGTTTGTAGCCATGTAGAAATCTCTCTCTCTCTTTTTTAATTCAAATTTCTTGAACCTTTAAGCTTTCGAATTTTTCTCATTATATTTTATACTGAAATTGATGTTATTGTTCTTATCATTCGGTCAGTTTGACAGGATCCCCTTAGTACCATTCAGACAAACAAAGAAGAAAAAGGAAGAAAAACATAAACAATGGAAAGGATGATCCATTTCTTTACCTTTTCTCATGTATCCGGTTATCTAGTCTAGAGAAACAATGTTCCAAAAACTTTAATGATGTTCTGACATGAGAGATTTTACCAATTTCTTTTTTTTGCTTTAATTTGACGTCCTATCAGCAGAAAATTTTTAAGATCTACACGGGCAACCCTAGAGGGTCTCAGTTTTCTGTCATTCTTTTTGGGCATATTTGCGTTTTCTAGGCATTTAACTGAAATATAAACTGATATTAACTTTTAAGAACTACTATTGACCAGGCCTTTATATTGACGGGTAATTAACTACGATTTGAGCTCCACAGATTAGTTTTCCATTAACACTTCCGTTGTGTTTGCTGCAGTTTGTAATGTTCTTGGATTGGAAGAAGGAAAAGAGTGCATTATTGTTGGAACTATTTACAAGCACATGAAACTCAAACCTTCTATTCTTGATGAGTATTCTAAGGAGGTATTGAGGTTTTCGAATGATAAATTGCACTTCCTCCATTTTTTCGGAGCTCACGGTTTGAATCTGCATCACCATTAATTATTAACTTGCGGTACAGAGATCTGCAACTCCACTCGTAAAACCCCATAATTTCGTGAGCTCAGATGATTATTTAGTTTTGGAAGATGAGAGTGGAAGAGTCAAACTTTGTGGCGCTCTACTGCTGCCTTCTTTCTTCGTAACAGGTTTGTGTCTAACTGCTCATTAGTTTTTCTAATATGCCATTTTCAAACAGCTCATGTGTCCAAGTTCTGTATTATGTCACTTCATCTCAGTCAGTATTTGTCACTTTCTATTCATATTTGATGGGAATACCAACTCGCTCTCTTATCAAGAATCCTTACATTCCTTATCAGTGTACGAACAACTATATCTCAAGCATGTGTTTAGGTTTCAACTCAATGGAAAAAGAAAGTGAATCACCTAACAATGTTTCTTCAAAAACTAAGAACTACGAGATTACTGTTTCATTTTGGCATGATGTGTCCTGACATTATCTAAACAATTATTTATGTGGTCTTAATTTGCACCAACTTGAATTGTCCCCTATCTTTGATCCAATTTGATAACTTCCAAAAGAATTTTTTCCAAGCTCTGAAAGTGACTACATGCTGTAATTTACTGCCTACGCACTTTTTTGGAGGAAAATAAGTTGAGATCCAAATAAATTTTTTTTTTTTTATATATATATATTTTAATATTTTTCCTTAAATGATGTTTTTGACAGGGATTGTGGTTGCATTGCATGGAAAAGAAACCGGTGCAGGTGATTTTATGGTTGAAGACATCCTAGAAGCTGGTTTTCCACACCAGATAGAGCGCCCACTTGTATCTGGTAGAAGCTGTCTTCCTGACTATTTCTGTATAAAGATTTTATGTAACTAAGTGGTTTTGCTTGTTTTATGCTGCTCTGGCTTTCCACCGTTTGAATTTTCAATGCACTGCCAGTGGATTATCTGATGGAATCATGATTATCTATGGAAACATCAATTAATGCATGGAAGTGCTAGTCAAGATCTTTAGTTCTTATGAAAAATTTATTTCTTGACAGGAGCAACAGTTGATGACATTTTGCCCTTGTTTGGCCCTTATTTTTTCTTCAAACTCATTTTCAATCACACATTTCATAGGATCGACACATTTCATCAACTTTTGTTAAAATTTACTAAAAATTTGATTTTTAGCTAAATCAAACAGGGGCTATATATGATAACAAAGAAGATGTTTAGGGGTTGGGTTGATAAAAGATTAAACTTGTAGTTAGTAGGCAATATGATTCTTTGAAAACTGGGTGACAGAGAATTAGCTTCCAAGTATCTTGGATTGTCATCATCACAATGTAGTGGTGTGTGCTGTTGAGTGCTAGTTTAGGTCTTTATCCATAATTGACTAATTACAAAGTTAGCCTCTCTATATTCAGAGATGACAACCGTTACCAAGAAATCCTTTAGAAGAGTTAGGATTAACATCCACCTTGTTTGGTTCTATAAGATGAAAAATGTAATTTCATGGATGTCCTTTTTTCCAAAAAATTGAGTACTTGGATTTTGAATCAGATATATGAAATTATTTTCTCTGGTTGCCCTCTGAAAGTTGCTTAAATTTACTTTCTAGTCCTTCAAGCTATGTCAGAACTTTCATGTTGAATATAAACAGGTGAAGACAAATATGTTGTTTTTGTGTCGGGATTAAGTGTTGGGGGCAGCTCCTCTAATCCCCTCCAATTTCAGCTTTTTATCGATCATATAACTGGACATCTAGGAGACGAAAAGGTTTAGATACTTCCATCTGCTATATTTTCCCTATTTGTTATCCTATTACTCAATTAATGACTCCAATTAATAGCATAATTGTATGAATGTGGCTATGCTCAGGAACAAAGTTTTGCAGCTCAAATAGTGCAAGTTGTTATTGCTGGTAATTCTGTTGAATATCCCCGTACACTTCTTAATGGTCAGGTAACAAATTTGATCTCTCTATAGTTCTTTGTACAATGTTCTTTCTGCTAATTTGTTAATCTTTTTTTGTTGAGGACGATTTTGTACTTCCAAGTGTGATAATTTATTTATTTGAAAATTGGGGATCCAACCCATGAGCATTTATTCAATTTGTTGGGGCAAGCAATTATTCAATTTGGTTGGGCAAACATACCATCCTCAGATTCACTTTACTTACAGTTTTACACATGCAAATACCAATTTTTTCTTGGACATTGGTGAAACTTTCTTGGGACGAGACTTGAAAAAAAAACTCCCTTGTATTCCATTTTAACTCTCATGATGCGGGTTTCATTTTTATTTTTGATCATGGGATTGAAAGATAGCATGCTATATAAGTATTTATGAAATATATCTATAAAAAAAAAATAAGTATTTATGAAACCATTGCAGATATTATGTTGCTTATTGCAAAACATCCAGTAGACATTATATTAGTTTCTTCATTTGAAGTATGATGCCCTTTGTTTTCGGTTTCTTATGTCTAATCCGCATGCGGACTAATAACTCATGTCTGCATTAGTTTTGGGCTTTTGCAAACATCCAGTATCACTGATGATCAGTGTAATGACTGAGTTTTGGGCCTTTTTACTTGAAGTGCCAACATTTATTAATCATCTCGTGGGCTTTCAGTATCTACAACCTAATGAATGTTTGGTTTCTTGAAGATAGGTAGTCTGTTATCTTATTGGAATCTTCCATTACACGTCATTTATTAATCTTCCTTTGTGACAACTTTACTGATTGTTGTAGAATTTAAATGCCAAGGATCAGTCAAGATTATCTGAACCAATAAAAGAGCTTGACATCCTTTTGACCCAGGTAATACCACGAGTATGCTTCCACTTAGAATCCAATATGAACTATGATGTTGTTATCTAAAATAAAATGCAGATTGCCGCTGGCATACCTTTGGACATCATGCCAGGACCCGATGACCCTGCAAATTTCTCCTTACCACAACAGGTTTCTATTACACAATTGAAATCCTGGAAGATATGACTTGTACATTTAGCTGATCTGTTGTTAACTTCTAGTGTTTGTTTTGTTTTGTTTTTCCCCTCTTTCTTTTTAAGGCGTTGCATAGATGTCTTTTTCCTGGATCGTCAGCTTTTAACACTTTCAGATCCTGTAGTAACCCTCATTCCTTTGAACTGGACAATGTGAGGTAAAATATTTCATTTGAGCTTAGCATTCGCTAGAATTTAATAAACAACACTATACTCGTGTTTGTTCAGCTTTCTTGGAACATCAGGCCAGAACATAGATGATCTTGAGAGATATTCTGATGCAAACGATAAACTTGAATTCATGGAAAGGACATTGAGATGGAGACATCTAGCACCAACAGCCCCGAATACTCTAGGTTAAATATGATTTTCTGCTGCATTTACATTTTTGTTTTGTCTTACTTTTGGTTATTCTTTCCCACCCTTTTGCTAGAATATGAAAGAATGTCAAAAATCGAGTAAAGTATGCTACTAAATGGCTTTTAGAACTTTTCTTCTAGTGAATGGCTAAAATCCATCAATTACTAAGCCTCTGTTTGGCAAATTTATAAATGGTTTCTATAGAGGAATAGAGTGGGTCCCACAAATATGTGGATTATAATTAGTAGTTATGAATGTGTGGCGGTAATCAATGTTTAGCTTTGATTGAATTTTAAACCATTTATAAATTTGTATCTAAAAGGAGGCAACATAAGTTACTGAGACAGTTTAATAAAAAAATCAGTAAAATAATACAGCATCTTTTAGATTACTGAAAATGTTATGGGATTTGATTGATTATATATTCGACTCATGAGTGTGCATGAACTTCTTCTGTTTGCCGTAGTCAGCGCCAATCCTCTTTTTTTGCAGGGTGTTATCCCTTCACTGATAGGGATCCATTTTTCATTGAAACCTGTCCTCATGTCTACTTTGTTGGTAATCAGGAGAAATATCAGAGTCGCTTGATCAAGGGTACATATTAAAAGTTTCTACTTATCATCTGGATTATTGCTTGCATTTTAACTTGCTGCAGAGAAATATAAATGGTAGCACTAAACTGTAGGGTCAGAGGGGCACGTTGTAAGACTCATTTGCATTCCCAGATTTGTTGAAACAGGAACTGCTGTGGTGGTAAGATTTTGCAATCTGTACTAGCTATATGCCTGCTGTAAAAAGTTACATCTCAATAGAAAGCATACTTGACTGTGTAAGAATGCTCCATTCTTTGAGTTGCATCTGAACTTCCAACATCCAATAAAAACTTTTTGCTTGAAATATATTAAAATTGTTCCCGCTGAAAAATTTTCTTCCAAGTGGACTTATCCTGGAGTTAAAGTTAGATGTGCTGAGAAATAAATTGTATGTGTTGAAACGGCTTGGTATAAACACTGGAGAGAAGAAGATAATCGTCTTCCTCTCCATTACTTTCATTAAATGGAAAAAGGCAAGAGTACGTGTGTAACGACTCAGGTCCCACTTAACGGGCTGTCCCGGCCGTTAAATCGACGACGTACTGTCCTTACTATACCAACATGGGTCTTTTCAGCATGCTTTATCCTCACTCGTACGCTCCCCGAGAAAACTTCTCAGGGGGTCACCCATCATAGAATTGCTCCAAACCAAGCACGCTTAACTGTGGAGTTTCTAACGATAGATTTCCGGAAAAGAAGGTGTACCTTGTTGATATGAGTAGTACCTATCAAATCATTTAAGCTTTCCTGGTCTGGGTATTACAATCACCCCCCGTTAGACTCGTGACGTCCTATCCATCTGAGGATCCGTTGCCAGGCTTTGGGATTCTGGAGGTGGGGCTCCTACGGGTTCAAGAGGTGGCTCCCACCTTATGGCGTAGCATTTTGTCCTGCATAGCACTTAGTTCCCGATTTTCGGCTGGCAACCGGTCTCTGATACCATTTGTAACGACCCGGGTCCCACTTAACGGGCTCAAAACTTGCAACCAAGACGATGATAGGGTCTTCCTGCTCTGGTTCGACTTCTCCCTTCGGGTCTTCTTCAGGGTCCTCCTCCGGGTCCTCTTCAGGGTCTTCCTCCGGGTCTTCTTCATGCTCTTCCTCTGGGTCCTCTTCAGGTTCTGGCTCAGGCTTAGGCTTTAGTGCTAGCTCTTGTTGTCTGTGGTTCCACAAGACTATGATGTCCTCACAGTATCCCTTAAAATCAATAATGTCCTAATCTTCTTCCAAATATAGCCCATAATTCATATCTCGCACGAAGTAAGTCACGTTTCTCCATTGAGGACACATGGTGGTTATAAGATGGTATATTGAGAGGATTGTCCCCTCATTATATCCGAACGATCTTGTCTACTCCCACTTAAGAAGGAAGTCTTCAACATGTTCAACAAATGTTTGCTCCCATCTTACTTCGTAATCTATGTATCTCTCGATAGCAATTTGGGCACGTTGTAGGTATGTGAGGCTATTACCAGTCATCCTAGTTACTTTCTTAGTCCTAATCATGTGACAAATATAATTTCAATTATGCTAAATCTTTGATGTGGCAATTTACTTTATCGCATAAACAATATCT